TGATCAGAGACGTGATAAATAACAAATAGACTAAAAATAAAAACAATGATAGAAAAAGCTTTGATTACGAAAGCAGGAATATATTTTCAGCAGACACAAATGTTGTAAACAACAATTAATAAAGTTATTTAAAACTTAACATTAAATATATTTCTTCACTCAGTTAGCTAATTAAAAATATAAAATAATCAGCAGATTAAAAACACAAGTGTATCTACTATAATCAGAACATCAAAAGAAAAACAAGGTCTGAAATTTAAAAAAATTAAGTTTTATTTATAAAGCTACCAAGAGCAGAAGAATCTGATTGAAACTGAAATATCGGAATAATTTCAGATTAATGCAGATGACCACTCTGCGACAAACAACATGTCTTTAATCGCGAAAGAACCAAAACTTACTAAAATGCTAAGAAAATTTTAAAATTTTCCTTTTTCAAAGGGCTAATTCTAAATTACCAAATTTAATAAAAATGTAATGTGAAATGATGGACAAACTGCTATCATCAGAGAAGCATTCGGATAAGTACATTCGGTTAAATGTTTTTGTTCAGAAAAAGAACGATTAGACGATTGATCGATTTGACGCCAAGGAAAATTCAATTCATGCTTATTCTTCACATTCGCATGATGTTTCTTCTTGATGAGAGTTCGCACTAACGTAATTTCCCTATCTTATCGTGGTGATTCCACGTATTTTATTCTATCGTGTATACTCTTCATTTTGCAATACTTTTAATTCTTCATAATACAGAATGATATTCACTCATTATTCCGCTTCATTCATTTCACGTGTTCATTAAAGTTGTGATGTTTAAACGACTCCAAAATTTTATATTCATCACACGGAACATATATATCACATATAATTTATATTATATATAAATATTTATCAGAGATTTACCTATTATATTTCTCGTAGTACTGCATGAGGCAGTCTTTGATGCAAAAAGTAGACCAAAATTCATTATCGAATCTTAAGTGATTACAAATTTATGATTTAACTAAACAGTATAATGCGTAACAAAATTTTAAAAAAATCACTATTTATAATATATACATAATATTTCAATCCTATAAACTTCATGCACATAACATTCTATTCGTTTAAAAAAAAAATCGAAGTCTTTTCAATAATTAATATTATTCAAAAATAAAAGATGCTTCATGTTTAACAAATATCATCAACTTATAATATAAAAATCAAGTAATACTTCTGTCTATACTTTCGTTGTAAACAGTGCATATTATGATTCAGAAAGAAAGAAACGTTAATTCTTCAGGAAGTTTATCTAATAATGAAAAGAGATTAAAAAATTGTATTTAAACTTACCTATTCTATTACAATTTGTAATATCATCGAATGATAAATTTTCGCCTCAATGTTCCATAGAACAAATAACAGTAAAGTAAGATATTGATGCTTTCATTAACTAAAATAAAATACAAATTATAGGTTGTGTAATTGTGATGCACAAAAATGTTGCGAAACAGCAATGATGTTTAAAATGATGTTAATAAAAAATAACAAAACTAAGCATTTTTAAAATGGCAACTTATATCCAGAAATAACATTTCTTTGCTAATAATAAAATAATATTAGACTTCTGAATTAGATAAACTTTAAGTCTAAGATTTGCAATAACTTTGTTGGAAAATAATAAAGAATTAAGAACATTAAAAATAAAGAACATTATTTGTGATATCAAATTTAACGAAATTTCAATTAATTTTATAAAACAAAATAAAAATACATAAAGTGTTTCATAACATCAGGCATTGTTTATAAATATAGATTAAAAGAAAAGAGCTCGAATGGCCACCTTCGGTATATATTTACGGTCTATATTTACATTCTATAAAGGTAAGCAATTGCATATTAGACACAAAAATGACTTCAAAGCAAAATAAAAAAAGACATGTTTATATAAACTTTCTTCATTATTCTGTATCTCCTATTCGCTGCTAAAGTAAAAGTACATGTTGAAATACCTTGTGTATGATATAAAAAAATAATAATTTATATAATATACGATTTTCGTACATACTATATTTTCGTTATTTCTTTGCATTTCGATTCGAAAATGTGATTTCGAATCAAAATTTCAAACATATATTATAAACTGATGCAAATATGATGTTGAAATCTGATCTAAGTAAAAAATTTTTATAATATTATTTTATTGTAATGAAAAAAATGCGATGTTTCCAGACATAAGTTGCTGCTCTAAAATTATTTACTTCATCAATCTTTGTTAAAATTTAAATACATATTGTTAATGTTGCTTAAGACACACAACGATTTTTTACCATGCCAAAAAACTCTATAGATAACACGAACATTCCGCCAATATTCAGGCTGACAGTTTTGGTGCCCCTTTGTAAAAGAAATAATATTAACTTCTGTATATGTAACGGAGCTATGTACCATCGAACATTATACCTGAAAAGTAATGATCAGAAAGCAAATCAATAGTTGCCAATGTAATAATAATCTTAATCTACAATTTATGAATTATTTTAATCTCTATTATGCTATAAATTCGTGAAAGATTTGATACATATTTGTACATATATATCTCTCTTACGCAGTGGAAAATATGTGGTCGTTGTGATTTATGAGTTCTTGTCCAGCATAATTTGCTGCAAAACAATATACAAAAATACAAAGTACAAGTAGAAAATGTAATATAAATTGTTGGAAGTCTCCAAAGAAGATAGCCTCAGAAATCTAAAATATAAATGCAAATATTGGAATTAATATTTTATTTCACAATAATCTTGAAACAAAGTCACAAAAATTTTGTGACTTTGATAAATACTTAATTTATCTAAATATATATTTAATAATGAGATAAACTAACGCCATAAAGATTGACGCTCAAACAAATTACAGCAAACATTATTAAAGCCAAGCGTGATTGATCACAACCAGAAAAGAATAATGCGGTAAACCTTTAACAAGAAAAAAATTTATATAATAAAATATAAAATATGTATAATTATATATAGTTGAATATATATGTATAGTTGCTATTAAGAACAAATACTAACTTGATAGCTTTACGATGAATGTTTACCGCATGAATTATTTGTTTATACATCGTAATCTCGTTTTGTAAATTAACATTGTTCAGCGTATTTATTGCTATTGCTTTCTCGATGCGATAACTGTAAAAAGTTACATTATTGATGTATAATTATATATGTGATTATATTCGTATTCGGAGAAAATCTATTCGCTATATATTTCATAATATTGTAACAATGTTATAACAATTTAACAA